CAATCGACGTATTAGCAGCGAGGTAAGCTCTTCCGAGTTACAACAAACTGTAGTAAGAAACGCCAATGCACTCTGGACAATCGTTTATAACAAATTTATGCAATTCTTTTGTAACCACCCTTGGTGAATTCGAAACAGCCCGGATTGCTGGGAAGACTTTCCATTGCTGTCTCTTTCAAGAGCTGCTTTACAAGCATGCTGATGGCGGATTTGACCCCTTGACATATGCCCAAAATAATTTATCACGAAAACGAATGAATGAATCATAGAGAGATTGGTTACGCCATTGGTCGAGTCGAATTTTCATCTCTCCGCACGATGCTGCTTATCAGTGAGCCATGAAAAGCGCAAAAAAATTTAATGTAAAAATGGAATAGTGTGGGCACTGTTTCTTATTTTTTGAAAATATCTTTGGCATAGTCAGTCAGTACTATGATTAGTTCATGCTTTTCGTTGGTAAACTGGTACTGACATACGCCAGAGAGACAGCCCGCCATTAACTTGCTTCTAAGCAACCCTCGTTGGAGTTGTTGACAACCTCGGCGGCGAGTATTTGCTTTTGGCATTTTCAAACCTTGAAACATTTTCGAATGCATCCATTTTGCCCAGAGTCAGAATTCGGGGCTGGTTTTGATCGCATTTTGATATCTTAGTATCTGGTGTTATTTTCTAAAAATTTCAGCTGGAAGAGTATCAGCAAACGAAAGAAATGGCCCGGGAAGCTCGTGCAAGAATGCAGAAGGAGCTGGACGCGCTGAAGGCGCTCTCCGAATCGCTTTCCAATGAAAACAAAGCGTTGCGCCAAGAGAAATATGCGCTGAACGAACGATGTGAGGAATTATTGAAAAAGGTAGGACTATTCGAAGTCCGAAATTTAATCGCTATGCTAACAAGGTCCAATGTGGCACTGAGCTGAGGTCGTATGCGCAGCTTAATGGATCGAAATTAGCTAAATTATTAATTCTTCGTATAAGGATGCATTTTTCAGTCTTCAATATTTCCAAACATATTTTATAACCAGCTAATAACTATTTCCTGAATTACACACAGAATTTTACTCTAAAGCAAACATATAATTGAATACCAAATATTATTATCTAAATGCGCCAAAACTGGTGTGGCAATCAACTAGGCTGCCGTCATGATTCTGCATTGCGATAAACTCTTTTTTTTTGAATAAATTTATTTAAAACATGATGTAATTTGACAAAAATAAACAATCTGAAAAAGTGTTGTTTTCGTTTTATCAGTGTGCCCTATCCGCTGAACAGTTAGTGTGGGAACCCCATACTAGTCAAGTTATTGGCATATCCTGAAACTCTCCGAGTGCAAAAATATACAGTAAGAATTTAGAATCTCGGGAGACCTCTGAACACTGTGCTACCAAAAATTAGAGCTCGGGACCGGAAGAGAGGAAGGAGGAAGGGCAGTGGGGGCAGGGAGCGGGTTTAGAAACTGATTCAATTGGTCCATGTCCGCTTATGACCCGCAACTAAAATTTGCATTTATT